AACAAAAGCAGTGACCACGTAATTATTTAACTAAAGACTGTTGTTTGTTCCTCAGAAATATCTAAGCTGAGCTGACGTATAGATCTCTGCTCGTCGACTTAACGTCCTTTTTGTTTGTTCCACTATAACGACTTCTGTAACCTTCCTTCAATTATTTTTTTGAATTCTTTTTGGTTGAATGTCATTGGATAACACAGTTTTCTTTGCAATGCTGTTATCCGCTGATACAGCAAATTGTGATTCTTTCCACCGACTTCCCAAATATAAACCATAAACCCCCAAATCGATTATGCTGTTATTGTCAAACAGGGTAAATGCGAAAACGTTGATTCACCGCATGAGTGATTTGTAGTCTGTGCGAGATCGCTGGAGATTTTCTTCCGGATTAGACGGTGTTGTTGCCTTCGCCGGTCGTTTCAAAATTAATTAAACAAGAATTGAAAAGTGTTTATGGGTTTATTTCAATGAATTATTTACGAATCGTGATTTCAGTCCAGTGTCTCTTTCGCGTAGAAACAAATTTATTCTAAGAGGCAGTACAGGCACTTTCAGATGTATTCACTCGATTAGTGCATATGCTTCTGTAATTATTGTTTTGCTTTTTTTCTACTTTCTGATGCCTTTTTTATAATGCTCAAGCCCATTCAGCTGCCCTTTTTCAGGTCACTTCCCTCGGAGTACCTGTCTACCAGTTTACGGGCAGTGTACTTAGAAATACCATGTAAACGTTAAGCTGGTAACGTCAGAGGGCGATCTTTGCTACCGCAGCTGATTTGATCTGAAATTAATCTGAAATGCGATTTGAGTCATCTTAGGTCACGTGGCAGTCATTCTCCGCATTATAGTTCATCGTTCGGTATCACGAGGACAGTAGCAGTAGTATAATCTGAGGCGATTACGATTGTTGATGTATTTGTTAACCCTTAATGACGGCACTCATATTGCTGTTTATCATGTAGCTTTAATTTTAAAAACTTCTTTGAAGTTTCCTATTTTCGATTACCGTGTTCTTTGTAGGTTTACGTCTTGAAAAGGCCGTATGTGGATGAATTTTTGAAGCAGATTGGAAGCCTGTACGAATGTGTTTTATTCACCGCTAGTTTAGCCAAGGTAAATGCATGTTTAAAAGCTGTTTTATGCTTATGTTATTAACTTGCATATTTTATTATACTAAGTTTCTGCAAATTGCGTTTTGTTATACTAAGTAAATTAGTCAGCCGTTTTTCCGGTTACTGCCCGCAAAATATTTGCGTTTGTTTTGCATAAAATTCAATGTTTCAGTATAGAGCACGGTTCTTCAATGCATTTTATCCAGGTTATCATTGGCCATCCACACGTTCTTCGGCCTCTTTTCCGGAAGCATTCGCAACTCGTCAGTGGCTTCTCACCGTGGGGAACCAGCGGCTGTGCAACATCAAGTCTCTCTGGGATTTCTGTACTCCGGACCATGTCGAGACACGTAAAGCCACCGAATCGTCTCGAGATTTTCCACGATTCATGGCCTTAGTTAAGTATAAGTATGGGGATGAAGATCGGCTTGAATGCCGAGAGCTTCGTTTTCAGACTCAGTCCCACTTAAGCCACAGTGGTTCAGGCTAGTTCACACTTAACGCATAACTTTACTGGCCACTCCAGTCCGTTTGCGGTAGATCTCTTACTCAAATGTTCCATCACCAGTAAACACGACCGAGGTACTTGGATTTCTCCACTGCTTTGGCTTTATTCATTTATTAGAATTAAACTGAGAAAAACGAATATTCTGTAAAGGAAAGGTATTACGACACAGCGAACAGGCGACTAGGAACCTATGCGATGAGTTCAGCATTGTTACCCTTGCTAAACCGTGAATTTTTTTTTGATCTGAACCCTTGGATTCACTGCTTTTTTGCATTCTAGTCTTCTTTCGCAAAATTGTTTAACTTTAATGCGATTAAGTCGAACCTGAGACTCAGTTTAGTGTGTGTTGACTTATTTACGCATTTTAGTACGCCGATCCCGTTGCTGACCTGCTTGATACCTGGAGCGTATTCAGATGTCGCCTGTTCAGGGAAGCCTGCGTTTTTCACAAAGGAAATTATGTCAAGGTTTGAATTTCATTTAAACAGACTTCGTTGTCATTTAGCAAACTGTGCTGCTTGTTTTTAGGATTTAAACCGACTCGGCCGGGATCTTAAACGTGTTATCATAGTCGACAATTCACCGGCTTCGTATGCCTTTCACCCTGACAATGCAGTATGCTTTTATTTGCTATCCAGCTATATTTTTAAGCGTTAACAATGGCGTTTCCTTGAGTCGAATTAATCCATCGTTTTAACATTATGATTTCTGAATATTTTAATGTCTGATAAGTTGTTTTACGCGGCAGTATAGCTATACAAGTCAGCAGTTTTGTTGCTTTCACTCAGACTTGTCGAAATACGTCCGAGTGTCTGTCTGCTCTCGGTTATTCCTATTGTTCAGACCAACCTTGACCACATGATCTTAAGGTCAGATTTTATTAAACTCGCAGTCCTTCCTTTGGCTTCACTTTTTTACGCCCTGTTAAGTAAGTTAATGAGTAAGATGAAACGTGGGCATCTAGATTGTTTTAATGTATAATCTAATCAGTCTCGAGTACTAAGATCCGTTTGACATTGTAAGTACTTCGCCAGTACATGGACAACCCACGAAACCTATTGTTATTAAAAATTTTTTGGCTTGTAACCATTCCTTTATTTCTTATGATTAAGAATTGTCTTTGCGAACTGAAATAGTGTTGCGCCATATATAATTATTGTTCTTTGTTTGACAGATTCCTGTCCAGTCATGGTTCGATGACATGAACGACACAGAATTGCTGGATTTGTTGCCTTTTCTTCAGAAGCTCGCCACTGTTGACAATATTTACACGGTGCTACGAAATTCGAACTCGCCTAGTCCGCCCCTGCTTTTCCGGATATCAAACGGATGCAACGGTTCCGTCGATACTCATGGTGTCATATCGCAGATGGAACGAAGGTGACGTCCCTTGAATGCTCCTTCCATCCGTCCATCGGGATTTTTTCGGTCGCCACTGCTGCCGCAGGTTTCATGTACGATGTCGCCTCCTCATTGGTTGACATGTTGTCATCGTCATCGCTGACGGTGAAAACACGAGTTGTTGTCAGCGCCGTCGGTCATTCACAGCTTGTCGGTCATGTTACTCTTTTAAAAAAAGGTGCTTCAACCTGTCCCTCGAACTATCATTGTACTTTTATAAATGACGCCATTGCTGATTGAGCTATCATCTCTCTACTTTTATCCATTGAATTGAAGTGTACTTCTCAGATTCTGTTATTATGGTAGTCCTGATATTTTCTTCGAATTGCCTTATGTACTTACATACTTTATGCGTTATGTATTGGTGGTCAGAGACGTGTGCTATGACACCACGTACAGAGCGCCGAGGCAAGTTTCGTCTCTCACAATGGCAGGTAACGATGTGGCTCAAAAGACGAATTGACCCTTGACTCAAAGACTATGGCTGTTTTTGTTTGTTATGGCGTTGCTTATATTTGTGACCTTGTTTCAGTAAACAGCGCAAGTACGATCAAGATATTCTACTTAGTTCCTGTGAAAGTTTTTCAGGAAAAATGCAGGCATCTCACGCAGAAAGTTTCGTTTTGACATAAAGCACATACCTACCTATTCAGTTTTTTACCATAAATTGCATAAACCGTTTGCTGACACCAGGCGTTGTTTGAAACCGTCATTTGCAAGCAGACAACTTGCATTTGTAAGAGTTAAAATAAATGCAATTATCTTTGGTTCTTTACTTGATGTAGCCATGGTGCATAAGTTCTCTGAAACCAAATTTCATGGCATACTGCAAAGATCTCCTGCTCGCAGTTACGTAAGGGCCGTTTTTAATGGTATACACGATTAAAGTTTCTCGCACTTACAATGATTATATTTGAATCACCTAAAATATCATACATTACTTTTGTCACTTATTGCATGGTTACATATAAAATTAATGCTCTACACTGTCGTCATTTTTATTGTGTTGTTGCTTCATTGACCTTTAGTGACGTCTACTGAGGGCATTGCATTTTATGAACAAACGCGCAAGAGCACTTTAAATGCGTTTAATTTGTGTAGAGTCCGCCGCAAGTACATAATGTAAAGAACATAAAATTAACAACGGGAAATTTGTACTGGATGGAACCAAAGAGATCACGGAATAAATTGAAATGAAAACCCATATAAACATAAAAACCAATGGATAATGCCCAGGCTCAACTGGGACCAAAGTTAAAACTGATAATTTACAAACGATGAATCTTGAAAGTATTAGCTTTGGTTTGTTTGAGAATCGTGCGAATACAAGTAGTCTTGGAATGATAATGGCAACTTGCTTCTTTGAATCTTCCGCTTCTTCAGTACTAAACTGTAGAAAGACTGCGATTAGTGCATGTTAGCAAACCAGAATGTCGTAGCAGCAGCAAGCATATTATCATCACTCTCCTGCACATTAAAACCAAAGTATTAAAAGAACGAGGAACTCAATAAAACTTCCCCAAAAGATATTTTTCGGAAATTATTTAGGGTTAAATATTTCTGCTCTTTCAATGCATTACTTCCTTTTTGCAAAACTCGCGCATGATATACGCGGTGGAAAACCAGAAGATATTTTCAGTACCTTAACGTTCTAATACAATCCGAATATAGCTCATTTTGTAGTGATAATCCAACAAAGAGATGTGATCCGTTCTGGTGTGGATGTCGACGAGTGCCTCAAAACTAAAGTTTCTGTTTAGACGTGACGTAGCTACTTTTTTAATCAATACCGGCAGCTATTTCGTATGTATCATGTCGCAGAACGGCAGCAACTAGAGTGAGTTTATGTTGCTGACCACCCCCCCCCATTCATACTAGGCCCTACCGATGAGAGCATGCTTCTAGCACGAGCACGAGATATCTTCCTCTAGTCTACGAACGCGG